ATCGAAGGTTCGTTAAGAACTTTTCGATGATAGCTTTACCTTTCACCAAGTTGATAAGGAAAACTGTAATGTTTGCTTGGACTCCTGAATATCAAGAAAGTTTTGAAACATTACAGAAAATTTTGACAGAAACTCCAATATTGGTTCAACCTGAGTCTGGCAAGAACTATATGGTTTACAGTGACGCGTCCCATAACGGTTTGGGATGTGTATTAATGGAAAGTGGTGGCCTATGTATCTAGATAATTGAAACCAGATGAGAAGAACTATCCAATGCACGATTTGGAGTTGGCTACATTAGTGTTCACTCTCAAGATTTGGCGTCACTACTTATATGGGGAACGTTGATATCTATATACGGATCATAAGAGTTTGAAGTATCTGATGACTCAGAAAGAGTTAAACTTGAGACAGAGAAGATGGGTTGAATTCTTAAAAGATTATGATGTGATAATATATTTCCATCCTAGAAAAGCAAATATGGTAGATGATGCTTTAAGTCGAAAAAACGTTTGCAACCTTATGAGCTTTGGATGCAAGGTTGTTATTGGATGGAGATGGTGTAGTATGTGCAGAATTCAAGCTTAAGTTAACCTTGTTGGATCGAATTAAAGAATTACAAAATGAAGATGAAAAGTGTTTGAAGTTTTAAAACAAGTAAATAATGAAGAAATTAAAGATTTTGAGATTAAGTCTGATGGAAATATGTACTAGTGATTCCAAATGATGAGGAGTTGAAGAATGATATATTATCAGAGGCTAATTGTAGTCCATTGACAATGAACCCAGATGGAAACAAGAAGTATATAGATCTCAAGAGTCAGCATTGTGGCTAGGAATTAAAAGAAATATCACTGAATTTGTGTCTAAGTGTTTAACTTGTCAGTAAGTTAAATCTGAGCATCAGGTTTCGTCGGGATTATTCCAACCAATATATGTTCCTCAATGGAAATGGGAGAATATGATGATGGATTTTGTGACGGGGTTACCCTTGACTCCAAAGAAAAGAGCTTCAATTTGGGTGATCGTTGATCGATTGACAAAGTCATCGCATTTTATCCCAGTACGAGCTGATTTCTCTATGGATAAGTATGTTGAACTGTACATCAGGGAAATTATTCGATTACATGGTGTTCCTGTTTCGATTATTCTGACTGAGATCCTCTATTTTTGAGAATTTTACATGGAGCATTAGGGACTCGACTAAACTTTAGCACATCATTTCATCCCCAGACGGATGGACAGTTTGAGCAGACTATCCAAATTATGGAATACATGTTAAGAGCCAGTGCAATAGAGTTCAAGTAATCTTGGGAGAAGTATTTGCCACTTGCTGAATTTTCTTACAACAATAGTTACCATTCAATCATCAAGATGGCTTCTTATGAGGCTTTATATGGGAGAAAGTGTCGTACACCTTTGAATTGGTACGAGCTTAAAGATCGAGAAGTTCTTGGTCCTGATTTGATTAAAGAAGTGGAGGAGAAAGTTCAAGTAATTCAGAACAATCTTAAAGTGGCATTCGATAGACAGAAGTCGTATGTTGATCTTAAGAGAAAAGAGATTGGGTTTCAAGTTGGAGATAAAGTATTCCTGAAAGTGTCTCATTGGAAGAAGGTACTAAGGTTTGAACAAAAAAGGAAAACTTAGTCCTCGGTTTATTGGGCCATACGAGGTAGTTAAGAGAGTAGGACCAGTGGCATACCATTTGGCTTTGCCACCGAAAATGGAAAAGATTCATGATGTTTTCCATGTTTCCATGCTTCGGAGGTATAGGTCTGATCTCTCTCATATTGTTACACCAGAAGAAATAGAAGTTCAATCCGACTTGAATTATGAGGAAGAATCGATGAAAATATTGGCTTATGAAGTGAAACAGTTACGGAATAAGATTATTCTGTTAGTCAATGTTTTATGGAGGAATGATAAAGTAGAGGAAGCAACGTGGGAACGTGCAGAGGATATGCGGAATTAATACCCCCATCTTTTGGTGCAGTGAAAAATCGAGGACGAATTTTCTTAAAGGGAAGATTTGTAACATCTCAACCACCGGGTTAGTGACCAATTTGAAAGATTTTAAAACTTTGTGATTAAATTAGAATAAATTAAAAATTCAATGACTTAATTGAAATATCTTTATGTAGGATTAAATAGCAAAGAATGAGGAATGAAAGGGAAAAGTGGTCATTTGGCAAATAAAAGAATTAAAAATTTGTAATGGGTATGTTAAATACAAGTGGAGAAGGTGGAAAGCTAAAAACCAAGTATCCAGAAATATCTTCATTATTTTTCCTCTTTCAGCCGTGTACCCCATATAGAAAGGTGAGTTTATGTTAGTTGATTATTTAGTAAATTCAAGCTTGGTTTATTTTCTTTAGGTAATACATAAGCTTAAGGAAAGCTTAAGATGTCTTAAAACCAAAAGATGGATGAGTTAGGAGAGATTGAATATAAGAGGTTTCTAAGTGAAATTGTGAATAAGATGAAATAAATATATTCTGAACTTGGAATGGACTTGTCATCAGTTAGAATAAGAAGTATTAAGTGTTATAAATGAGTTTAGAATATGTTGAAAATTTAGCAAGATTCTTGGTTTCAAGAATTTGGATGAGATACTGAAGATAATGATTTGAGCAAGTGTAGTTAAGTTTAGTGGAAAGAAGGGAGTTCAAAATGGAAGGTTAAAGTCAGTATTTGTAAATTTTTGGGTATAAGGAGTGATTTCTGGGCAAGGAGTATCGGTACTGATTCATCCAGTATCGATACTTCAAAAGGAAAATAGGTGATATTTGAAGTAGGGTATTGATACTGTATGAACAATATCGAAAACGTAAGCCAAAAGATGATAAGATATTCAAGGAGTATCGATACCTAAGGGGTAGTATCGAACCTACAGGGTAGTATCGATACCAATGGTAATGATACCATTAGACAAATATCGATATCATTTTGAAATAGAATTCTAAAACCAAGAAAGGGTATCGATACCATAGCATAGTATCGATACCACAATGAAGGAAGTATCAGTACCATACCTTGGGTACCGATACTATTCAATGTGAAAATTTAAACTAAGTACTTCTTTTAGCCTATGTTATTAAAGATCAAATTATAATACTTATAATTCTGATATTCATATCAAATGTATAATTGTGTAGATATCGAGCATAAGCAAGTTCCAGAACGATAGAAGGGTTAGAAACAATCAAAAGAGGGATAAAAGTTATAGGAGTTGATCGGACTTAATGAGGCTAAGGTAAGTGCATATCATAGTATAGTTGTTGTTGTATGGACACAAGACTTGTGATAAGTCTATTTCCTATGGTTGATTTCATAGTTCCATATTTATAAACATGAATATGTTATGATCCTTATGAGTATATGCATAAGTAATATATGTTTATATGTTTTGATATATGATATGTGATCTATGCGAACATAAACGAACAACATAAATTATATGCTATGAGATAAATAATTATATGATAAATGATTAGAGTTACATGAGTACATATATATGTAACGATTTGATTTATTAAGTGAACATGTGAAATCTGTAAATAGTAAAGCCCATGTTATGTGATATGAGAGCTGTAGGTATAGTTGGCATGCTAAGAGTTGAGGGTTATATGTGATCCTTCGGGACATATATGTAATCATTTGGAACATTTATGCAGTTCTTTAGGACACATATTTGGTCATTTGGAATATATATGTGGCCCTTAAGGAGAATTATATGTGGTCCTTTGGGACATATATGTGGTCCTTCGGGACATATAAGAGGTCCTTAGGGATAATTTTATATACCCTCAGTGGGAATTTATACGAGCTGTGGTGACAACATGTGTGTACAACCTCAATGTACTCACATACCTTAAGTTCTTAGTAATGTACATGGGCACATAAAAGATATAAAAAGAATTAAATACTTTATAAGATGACATGTTATTATTTGTTCAATGTATGATGATAGATGTTATGGTTAAATAGATGTATGAAGATTGTGATTACATGTTAGAATTATAGGATTGCATGTTTCATGAGTTCATTATTGCACGTTTATATTATGCCTCACTAAGTTTGTGACTTAGCGTGTGAGTGTTTCACACGTAGGTACCAAGAAACAAGAAGATCAAAGTTAGGGTCTATCAAGGCAACATCTCTTTTGCAGACGATCAGATCAGAAATGATTCAAACAGTATGTCATTTTGTTATAGTAATTATGTTGGCATGTAATCAAAGTTTAAATCATATTCTCCGATCGATTTTGTAATTATTTTTATGGTACTTATGTAACTTATTTCACTGTTATTTTGATGAAAGATTAAATTTTTAACTATTTTGTAAGAATAAACGTTTTGAAAAGTCAATGTGACACCTCGGATTCATATCCAGGTCGGGTACAGGTTAGGGGTGTTACACACATCGTCTCACGTCTCAACCAAATTTCTTTACTATTCTGACGATGAAAACCACTTACTTACCATCCCCATCGTCGACAACTACACCACCACACTTACACTTTCTTTCCTCACCACCCACCTCACACCTTTCTCTGCCTCACCATCCCATTTACTCTCAAATACCAACTACCAATCACAACCTTGACCCGTTCATTTCTATCTCGACTAACAATGATCTCCAAATTATGTTGGAATAACACAAGAAAATCTTTTCTAGTTCTACCGCTGCATCTTCACGTTTTAGGTTATTTCTTTTTCCAGTTGGCAATGGTGATAAAACTGAGTAAACTCATCCAAAACGAGAAGTTAGTTTGTTGATACTTTGCGGAGTACAATAGTGAGGTTTGGATGTGAAAGTGAGAACAAGCTGAGTCCATTCCTTTGGAAACTTCTTCTTCTTTTGGTTCTGCTCATTCTTCATTTTTCTTGTCTAGTTTGCCTCTAATCAAACTAGACAAGAAAGACCCAAATTAGTTTTTATTACATTGGTATTGAATTAGGTGAGGGTTTTTATTACCTTGTATTGAATCAGGAGAGATGGGTGGTGAGGGAGGAAAGTGTAAGTGTGATGGTGTAGTTGTCAGTGGTGGGGATGGTAAGTAAGAGATTTTCACTATCAGAATAGTAAAGCGATTTGGTTTGGGGACGTGAGACGATGAGGCTGCCGTAGCTTACGGGCGAAGGAAGGTAGTAGAAAAATATTACAATGAATGAGGCTTAAAATAATAATGAAGAAAAAGAAAAAGAATGAGAATGAGGGAGAGGGAGAGGAAAATGAGGAGGAGGAGGAGGAGGTTAATGGGGGTGACCAAAATACAAGCGTCCTAAAACTTTGGGGACTATTTATATATTTTACCATAAAAAATATGTCAGATGACATTTTTAATTGGTTAACGGTCAAACTTAACGGTCCGTCACGGCTGGACTCATTTTGAGTCACAAAATGAAACGTTAGACATCAAATTAGAACAAAATAAACGTTAAGCACTAAACTGAAAAAACGAGTATAGATTGAGCATCTTTTGTATATTTAAGCCTATTTTATATAAAGTTTTTAAATGCAAAATGAGATTTTATTATTATTTTTAAATTAATTATTAACATTTGATTAATTAATGAATCTTTAATTTATAATTTATAGTGTATCAATTCATTAAATCAAAGTTAACCGGTACTTACAGTCAACTACTACTTCTCGGGGCTTTAGAATAGGAGAGTTGTAAACGAAGTCAACCACAATAGTATTGTAGTTATAAGTGGATGTGTGAAAAAAGAAGGGATATTGAAATCGAAATTGGTCGCCAAAGAGAAGAAAAGGATATTCATTAAAGAAGAAGGAAGAATGGGACGGTGGAATCAGTCTCCGGTGGCGATAGCCGTCGCTATAGCGGTGATGGCGTTGGGCCTCTTTTCAATCTCAGCCACAGCAGCAAGGCCCTGCAAGACCTTCCTCGTCTCCTCCTATTCCATCTCTTTACATAGCCCTAACGACCCTTCCCACGCTGTCTCCTCCCGATTCGTCGCCGTCTTCACTGAAATCGCCCAATCGAATCCCTTACCCATACCCGCCGATCCCAAACCCTCCCATATTTTCAGCTCTCTCCGTGATCTCAGCAGGGACATTCTCAGCGTGGTCGCCGCTCTCCTCCTCGGTGTCGGCTGCGGCGCTCTCACTGCCGCCACGATCTACTTGGTCTGGATGATCTTCACGGGCAGTCGCGAGTACCACGAGGATTACGAGTCTAGCGAAGAATTTAGTCCTAAAAAGATGGGGTATGTTAACATTCCTCCGAATCCTGCCGGCGACGTTAAGGAAGACGCCCTGTGAAAAAAGTGGCATAGTTGTTATTAATAATAAAATAAGTTCTGGGATTGATTTTTCAGTATTTCGGCCATCTGATGTCTCTGTCTATGAATTTTTAATATATGTAATCAAAGCACTACCACTGTTTTGTATTACTTTGGATGCTATTTACTGCGTCCTATGTTCTAATGTGCTTTAATTTCCAATAGGTGCATTTTCTTTGTCTCTCTTAAAAGGAAAGCAAAATAGTAATTGCATCAGGGTTCTTATAATGTTTTGTTTTGGGGCAATTATTTACTATCTTTCTATGTGATATCGATCAAAATGCCCTCATAGTTCTTGCAGCTTTTAAGCATATTGGAACGCATATGACAGTGATGATTGATGCGACAAATCATGGAAGGATGTTTAGGTATGAGGCTTAGCAATTTTTTTTATAAAATAATTGTGTCAGTTTCTTAGTATTTAATATTTATGTTTATTTATTATTACTATTTAGGTACGAGGCTTAGTTAGCATTAAGTAAAACACCCAATAAACTTTTCCCACTCTTTTTATCATTGAATCTTTAATTTTGTCAATATTAATATTGAATTTTAGTTTTTCATTCAATTATATCTTTTTGTTATTAAATCAATAATGAGATGATCACATAACTCACGGTAATTGATGTTGTTGTTATACCTAAATGATGTACATCGTTTTGATACGATTATTTTAATATTAAAAGTGGATCAAAATGATATCATTTTTTTATACAAAAATTGAAGTTATTTGCTCTTCATAAACGTAGTCCTCTTGTAATTCAAAGCTCAGGGCGGATATAGAAAAAAAAAATTAGGTGTCAAATTTAAAAATCATATGAATTTTTTTAAAATTAAAATATTGAATTTTAAACTTATTATTGCTAAATATTATTTTTAAAATATGTGGTCAATTTCTTTTTTAAATGGTATCAAAATATTTCTAAAAGGGGTTTTTTTCTTTATATATATATATATATATGGATAAGAATGAAACTTTTGGATGTCAATTTATACCCCTTAATGTATATTGACTCCACTAGTGTTAAAGCTAATGTTTAACTACCAAATCAACTTAGATTTTAAAAATAACTGTAACACAAATAATATATATCTTAAGGTGCAATTGATATTAATTCTAAAATTTTGCACAAAAAATTTCTCAAATTTATTAGATTTGTTAACATTTAAGGATAATGTGTAACCTTACAACAACACACAAAATTTATACCCCAAAATCTTGCTTACACTCTACATAAGAGGTATTACAAATTTAGTAAACAAAAGAAAGCTCACAAAGGTAAATGAGTTTGCAACTAATTTAACTCATACCTAAACCACACTTGAGCAAGAATAAACAAAAGAGCTCACAAGTGTATTACAAAGAATATGACAATTTTAGCTCTAAAACTTTTTTGATGTTAGCTTGATCTTGCAATTGACTTTTTTATTCTTCTATATTTGAATCTTTGTCCTTTTATGTCTTCTAACATCAATCTAACCTTTTGGAGCCGTTGGAGATTGGTATCAATACCCATTGTTCGGTATTGAAATCTTTAGTATGGATATTGTTTATGTGAGTATCAATTCTCATCTATCAATATCAATACCAATACCATGATATCAATATTAAAAAGCCTACTAGAGTATTGGTATCGAGATTGGCATGCTGGCCTCGAGACTAAAAGGGATTTTTGGGTAAAATCAAGTGTTTTGAACTCTAAAACAATATTTATAATTTATGAAATTACTCAAGAACACTTATTATTTTTCACATTTAAAAACGCTTGAAAATGATTTTTTGACAAATTATTTATAGAATCGTAAAATATAAATTTTAACAACATATAGTTTGGTTCAACAATATTTTTTATTTTATTTTAAAAAATATTCAATCACAATTGAATACGTGTCATGTACTGATGAAAGTTATCAATACAATTATAGATCATTTTTATTTTATCCACTTTCAAAATGTATATAGAATAAATTATTCTCTTTTTGAAGAGGAATTAAATTGCTTAAGTTCAAAATTGTCAAGGATGTTAAAAATCAAAATATCTAAGTCAATATAATTTAAAAGTTTGGACCAAAATATTACTTTTGAAACATACAGGGATTAAAATATCTCTAAAGAATATTAAGTTGGAACATTTTGTAAGGTCATAAATGATAGCATTAACAATTAAGACCTTGCTCTACATCGTGGTTAAAAATTAACGTGACGTTTTATTTACGGAATGTAAGATTAACTTCGGGAATAAAATTACTGAAGTGTAATATTACTATGAAAATATTGTATTACCTTGTTTTGTTTATTTAACAGAACTGTATGATTATAATGTTTGGTTGAAATAATATAAAATTATTTGGATATATATTTTACCAGATTATCTTGTGATACATGTTTTTCCAAAAAGTTAAAATTTAATATTAAATTATAAATATTTGAATAAAATTTCATAAAAATGTTTTAATCGTTACACTATCTAATTTTTAAGAAGAATACATTTAATATATTATTAATATTGTCACACCCCAATTTAGGGGCTAAATTTTAAAAATTATAAAGTATTGAATTTAAGTGGTATTTTAGAAGAAATTGAGGATTAAAATGTAAAATCGCAAAGTTGACAGACTATTTTGGGAAGTATAGGAATTCAGGGACCTAGTCCTGAATTTACCTATTTTTCTTATATGTAGAAAATATAAACCCCTTTCCCGTGCTCAATTTCCCAGAATTTTTCCCATTTTCCTCTCTCCGATCAACTACTTTGAGTTCTGATCTCTTCACTGTCCGACCACCGTTCGTTGATCCGAAACTACTATCGTGTTCAATGTCTTGCGCATGTGGACAATGTTGAACTGGTTTGACCCAGTCCGACCCGACCCGACCCGTTGACTGTTGACCGAGTTGACAGTTGACCGTCGTTGATTGTTGACCGACCGTTGACTTTTTCCAGGTATACCTATCCTGATATTTTTCGACGACCTGAGTCCGTTTTGCCAAATTCAAACCCTGTAAGCTATTTTTCACTGATTTATCACCCGATTCGATCTGTTTTTCTTAATTAAGCTCCATTTTTTATGAAATTTCTGTTGATATGTAACTGAGGAATTATTGGACGTTGATTTCAAGATTGAGGGCTTTCGAATGGAGTTTAAATGGTCGAACATTATGGCATAAAAATCGAGGTAATACATTACTACCTTTTCATGCTTTATGGAACATGTTGGTATTAGTAAATGCTTTAATTAAAATATTTGGTTTCATTTATGTAGTTAATTAATTTCTACACGATCTGAATTCGGTAAAAATTCGATAACTAAATATAGCTCAGATGATTAAAATAATAAACTAGAGGACCGTTAGAATTAAAGTACAAGTTATGTGATTAAGGGATAAAACAATCAGCTCCTGGATCTGTAAATTATAATTTATAGCATTAAAAGTTAAATACCAAAGGTACTTGGATGAGCATATTTCGGTTAGGTGAAATTACGAAAATACCCTTATGTTGTAAAAAGACAATGATTGTCCCTGAAAGTTGGATAATAACTCTGAAAAGACATATTGATCCGATAGAACTACTGATGCGTATAGAAAATCTAGATAACTGACTTCTAAACTCAAGATGGTTTGTACAAGATACTAGAAGTTTAATAAGAAATAATTTCAAGTTCAGAGATTATTCGGGAAATCAATTAACCCTCGAATGTCTAAATTATAATTATCCTTGTTAAGAGTTTTAATACTGAAATTTAATGGTTAAGAAATTATGAAATTTCCCTTGAAAGGAAAAAATAGCCCGAATTGACCCTGTATGAAAAAGTACCCAAAAATATCATGCCTAAATCGATGAATTACTAATTTCATCGGTAAGTTCACACGTTTATACAATAAATTCCTTATAATCCCTAAATCTCCGAGTTATGAGTAAATACCTGAAGAATAATTTATCGAGGGTGCTCTTTTGTCAGAATTATTTAAAAAGACTGAAATAGATGATAAGTTTGAATTAAATAATAAGATGGACGGAAGGAAATGATTGAAATACCCTGGATTTGTAAAATGACCAAAATATCCCTAAAATAGATGTTGTTATGCCCTTAAAAGTTATGAAACACAACTTAAGTAGGCCCACCAACCCTAATGATATATTAGTACCTGAATGGCATATATACCAATTGAACGCTCGTTCGTCTCCTCAAGTTTCGATCGATGATAATTCTAGAAGTATTCGGCTAAGCTCAATGCTAGAGCGCATTCGATATTAAGAAGTGGATATTCGTGAGACAAATCAATCACGAATACCAAAATGACTTTATTATATAACCAAATTGAAATGAACGGAAGTACAATATGTTTCTGAAATTCAGAAACATCCGAATTACTCTGGAAAACTCTGAAGTAACCTGGATAAAAGTGACTACTAAATGAACTAAGTAACCTCAATGACTGAGGATTAAAAAGTGATTTCGATAAGTCTAGAAACTCATATGAACTTACATGATGTACAATCCCTATGGGTTATGAACCAAGAATTAATTGCGTCAATAATTCCTCATGTTGTTGCATTATGGAAATAAAATAAAGACCATTGGAATATTTGTTCGTTCCCTTAAAATATATTCAGCGATGATTCTGAAAATGATATATGGAAAAGAATTTTTGGAATTAAAGAGTGAATACCCTGGTAAGGTAATGAATTGACCAGTCGACAAACATCAGTTCTGGGAGTTGTTCAGCTCAAGTTGTTCGATAATTCGATCGATCAATATAAATGGTAAATGTCATGAAACTCCGTTTCTCCCTTATCAGCTCAAATCATTCCAGTCATACCTGAACACTTTTCTGATGCACATGAAACATAGTGAGATTCTAAAGTATCAACTTTAAATGGTTGATTAGATCAGTTAGTAATCGTTTCTTTTCAATAGGACCTTGTTCCTGGAATTTGATAAAATGACATCAGTTTCATGTTATCTATTCTGATAACT